TATATTTATTTTTATTATGTGGTTAATACTGCCTTTTCCTTCCCAAAGGCCATTTCGTTTAATCAAGAACCACAAGAGATCATCATCCGACGGCAAGCATCTTTTATTAAAAGTATATTCACGACATTTTACTGCAAATACATTGAGGTGGAGAGATTGGGGTCGGTCTTCTACTTTCCGGTCTTCAGAAACGTTTCCATCACGAAGGAGACCATAGCAGAAGGTTCAGGTATGTAGTGTGAATATGTACGTGTGTGTGCGCGCGCTCGGTATCCGACTGGCTTAATTTTAAACTTTGAGATATTATCTTGTTCGCCCAGTATAATTATGTTGTACGCAGAAGACTTTTCGTTCGAATAAGATCATTAGAGTATTGAGCACACTTCTGTGAACATGGAGCGCGGCAGGGACGTCACTAGGATTGAAAGACAAGGGGGGCTTAGCCCCCAGGGTTGTAGGAAGGAATTAGCGCTCATAGAGGGCTGAAAATTTTTCACCAAACCTAAACAGGCTTCTTTAATTTTATTATCTCATTAATCTAGAAGGCTCCACCCTGAAGAAAACGACAACAACAAAACAGATAATCTTTTTACCTGTAAAGCTCCACCAGTCTTAATCATGCACGCTCCCTCAGCATCAGCTCCCCTGCCGCTCTCCTGCTTATCCCTCAATCGTTCAAAATACTTTCGTATATCCTTCTGGTATATAAACTGAACTTCAGTGTCCCTGTTTTTGCTGTTGTAAAAATATATCCATTTAATGGTAAGTGTCCCTGTTTTTGCTGTTGAATAGGGACACTTACCATTAAGTTTTTGATCACAATAACTAATTATGACAGCAGCATTATGTTAGTTTAAATTAGTTTTAAAATAGCCAACAACGTCACTTTCCTTTCACTTAAGGAAACATAAGTAAAGTTAAGCAATTAACAGTTATTGACACCTACTCACAATCTCTGACAATGAAATTATCTGGCCGCTTCTTTCTGTCGAACGTTGCTACTCGCTAACAAGCAGCGACATGTAGCTTCCGTCTGGGTCCTAATGCACGCCTCTACCTATAGCAGCTTAAACAGCCAGTACATAATTTTAATTAAATAATGATAGCTAGACTTACAGCATTATTTTTATAATAGTCTTGCTTCTATTTAAGTGCGTACCTGCGCTCAGTGATATCTTGTATGAAATGTATGGATATATAATTTAAAAATAGTATGATAATTACTATATTATTAGGGGGGGCTTGGGATCATTTTGGGGGGACTGTAGCCCACCATAAATAGGCCTAACAACACCCATGGAGCGTGGACACATCATAAAATTCTATTTCTATCTTAGAATGTCTTACAAGGGCATTCTTGTCACACTGCGGTAAAGAGCCTCATATTCGATATTCAGTTTTGCGGCTGTAATATGTTTTAACAAAAGCAAGCCGGGCGGTTTTTAATCAGTCTTGATGTCCAGTATACAGACCGTGATGAACACTGATCATTTTTGTGATTCAAGCCCTTTCACTAGGCTATTAGTGTTTAATCTTGTTAATAACTACGAACATAGGCTACTTCAGCTGTAAGGAGATGGTTCAGCATTCAACAGAGTTAATTGAAACTTAATTGCACAGGAATAGGACTAAATAATTTGTGTAACAACTCTTAAACTAAATAAAACACTCTTACGTCAAGCATATTGTGCTTGTGAGATACACCAATAGATTGGTTAAACTTACCTATCCGCTTCCTCAAATCTGATGCCTAAGGGGTGATGGATTTATTGCCCCAGGGAGTCACCTTAGGCAGCCATCTTGGTGCAGCCATATTCAGTACACTGCACACAGTGATGCATGGATGGATGTGAATGATTCAGTTAAACTTTCTGTTCCAGGAAAGCTGCCTTGGGAAGATGATGAGCAGACAAGGAAGGAGGGGATGGCAGAGAAAAGGAATCTCCAGGGTAAGTGACCATTTATAACTCTGCACTCACGTTTGTGTTGGTATGAGGATCAGTGTTGTAGTTCCATGGCCTGCAGGATGTGAGCCAGCAGGTGACAGTCAGCAGCTTAAGTGTCTGAATCACACCGTGTTAAATTTTGTATAGATGGTGAGACATGGCTCTTGATAAAGATGGTTCTCTCTTTTTTGAGTAAAATATCTGCCACTTTCTAATGGATTTAATTTTTTTTTTCTAGAGCTAGTTGGCTGGACTTCAACTCCTGTCAGTAAGTTTAAACACTGAAGTTTACACTATGCTGTTGAAACACACCATAGTCTTAGTTTATGCATCATACTGTATATATCATATATAATTTCCCTCGGTATCCAAGGGGATACTGTGTTTAGGGAATAATGACAAAAAAACTGTACATGTTCAGTACAGCTGCAGCCATCGTAGTAAATATAGAAAATATAATTTATAAATACTGGAAATATAAATCCATTGTTTCTCTTGCTCTCTCTCTCTGTCACTGTTCTGTCCTTCATTTCTGTTTTTCCCCCTCTTTACATCTTTCATGCAGAAGTAAGTCATAGGGACTTTAAACATAAATGGTGGGAGGGATAAGGAAAAGCGAGCGGCGATGGCTGAATTAGTGAAGCTACATAAGATAAATGTGCTGTGTTTTCAGGAAACTCATAGGGATATTGAGGTGGATTTTCGGATGTGGTGGAAGGGTGAGGTTTGAGCCATGGCACTCGTGTGAGTGCTGGAGTTGCCATTACGTTTTCTGAGAGGGTGAGGTTGAGTAGTGTGAAAATGTGGGAGGTGATGCAAGGCAGATTGCTGATGGTGAAGGCCACAATTGGGGGGTCTGCTTTTTTTATTTGTGAACGCTTATGCACCAACTTGTCTGGACTGGTCGTTTACAATTTTTTCGAGAGTTGGATGCTGCACTGCAACGGTATGGTTGTGATGTTTATGTTGTCGTGCGTGACTGGAACTGTACCATGGATTTCACAATAGATAGGACTGGGGAGGAGCCTTCTATGGTGTCCGGGGTAGCTTTGCGTCGGCTGGTGAAGGAACGGGGCTTGATAGATGTGTGGTCCGGTCAACATTGGACCCGTGCCTCGGTGCTTTATCTGCCAGTGGGGGAAGGAGGTCAGGGGCTTGTTGACATTGCTAGCCGTGTTGCGGCTTTCAGACTAAAAACAGCTCAGAGGTTGTTGTATGGCCGAGAGTTCTTGTGGGCCGACACAGCATGCATGTTGGTGCGGCGAATGGAGGACCTAGGTTATGACAGACATCTGTTTCTACTGTACCTGAAACCTGTGGATATATCAGCAACCACCAAGTTTTATCAGTCTGTTCTGAAAGTGTAGTCATCTGTGTTGAGAGTTGATAGGCCTGGCTCTTTGCCGTGTATCAGCGTGGAGGAGGAGCCCTTGTTTTACAACCCCCAAGTTCAGAACAGTGCACTGGCGTCTGTTTTTGTTTGATGGCACGTGGTGGCGGCGGGTATTACTAAGCTTGGGCATTTGAGACAGGGTGGGGCCTGGAAGTCTGCTTCAGCCTTGTGCACTGAGATAGGGCTCCGGTCAAGCCATCATTCAGTCGATCCTTAATAAAATTTCCTTGGCTCTGCCTGAAGGGTTTTGGTGGACTGTGGAGGACGGGGTAGGGGATCTGAGACGGCCTTTCCCGACTTTGCATGTTTCAGCGGCAGTGGAAGGGCATCGGGAGGATGTTGGTTTGTTACTCTCTTTCAGAGTCCCGCAGCTACGAGACTTTGCAGGGGCCTCTAAGAAGGGGCTTTATGAACTGAGTGTGAAAGTTCTCAACAACGGCTCTCTGACGGGTGGCAGCTTCTAGGAGGTTAGGCACTTTGGCACATGACACTTCCCCCATGGGTTGCTAGAAGACCCTGTACAAACCCCCTATAGAGAAGCACACTGCTGACCTGCAGTGGAGGTTGGTGCATGGAGCCGTGGCCACGAATCGACATGTGCCGCACATCGATCCATCGGGGGTAGCGGACTGACCTTTTTGTGAGCAGGATGAAACTGTGGCGCATCTTTTTTTGAGGTGCGAAAGGCTTGGGACCATGTTCTTAAAGCTTGAGGCATGGTTTGGTGGGTTCGAGGCAGATTTTTCTGTCATTTTTATCTATGGTCTAAAATATAGGGCACGTGAGAAAGTCAAATTGTGCTTGTTGAATTTTCTAGTGGGTCAGGCCAAACTTGCGATTTGGTCATCTCGAAAAGTAAGCTGAGAGGGGCTGGGCTGACGGACGCTAAGTCTATCCTGTTGGGCTGGTAGCGATGCGGCTCAGGGTGGAGTATGCGTACTCTGTGCTGACCCATACTCTGCAGGAGTTCTCCACAATGTGGGGGCAATGCAGAGTGTTGTGTGAACTTGGCAATGATCAAAGTGTTGAAAGTATGATGTGCATGGTGAACTTGTGGACCGATAATTTTCTTTTTTTTGGTTTTCCTTATATTATACATCTATCTTTTTGAGCAAGGTTTAATCGTGCATTTGTGTTAATAAAGAGGTTTTAAAAGTCAAGTCTCTCTCTTACACACACACGCACACACACACACACACGCACATGCACACTGTACTGTCTTAACACTCGACAACACCCAAAACTACACATCATTTCCCTTTTATGTAAATTCAGATTTTCATTTTAGAATTTTCTGGATTTTTTTCCTGGAGTACTTTTGATTCAGTTAAACTTTCTGTTCCAGGAAAGCTGCCTTGGGAAGATGATGAACAGCCACGGAAGGAGGGGATGGCAGAGAAAAGGAATCTCCAGGGTAAGTGACCATTTATAACTCTGCACTCACGTTTGTGTTGGTATGAGGATCAGTGTCGTAGTTCCATGGCCTGCAGGATGTGAGCCAGCAGGTGACAGTCAGCAGCTTAAGTGTCTGAATCACACCGTGTTAAATTTTGTATGGATGGTGAGATATGGCTCTTGATGAAGATGGTTCTCTGTTTTTTTGAGTAAAATATCTGTCACTTTCTAATGGATTTCAATTTTTTTTTCAAGAGCCACCTGATTTGACTTCTCCTCTCAGTAAGTTTAACTCTGCAGTCACGTTTGTGTTGGTATGGTAAATTTTGTATGGATGGTGAGACATGGTTTTGATAAAGATGGTTCTCTGTTTTTTGAGTAAAGTGTCACTTTCTAATGGATTTCAATTTTTTTTTCAAGAGTTATATGGTTGGATTTCACCTCCTCTCAGTAAGTTTAAACACTGATGTTTACACTATGTTGTTGAAACACACCACAGTCTTAGTTTATGCATAAAAACATTTCCCTCAGTATCCAAGGGGGGGGGTACTCTGTTGTTTAGGGAATAATGACAAAAAACTGTACATGTTCAGTACAGATTCAGCAATACTAGTAAATATAGAAAATATTATTTATAGATACATAAATTCATTGTCTCTCTTGCTCTCTCTCTTTCTCTCTCTCTCTCTCACACACACACACTATATTGTCTTAACCCTCATCAACACCCAAAACTGTACATACCTTCCATCCATCACCATAATCACTTAGGCCCAACTAGGGTCGCATGGGGGACCGGAGTCAATCCCCGGGACCTACGCAAAATCAGAGGCACACCATTACAAAGAGGAAACCAGGAAACCGTGGCACCTGACAGAAACCCACACGAACATGTGGAAAGCATGCAAACTCCACACAGGAAGGACCCGGGATTGAACCCAGGACCTTCTTGCTGTAAGACAGCAGTGCTAACCACTGCACCACCGTGCTGCCCCCCACCTCACTTCATTTGTATGGAAATCCAGGTTTTCATTTTAGAACTTTGTTTTTTTTTTTACTGGCTGAGTCCAGTAAATGATGCTTTTAACTTCAAAAGCTTCCATCGCTTTGTGTTTGTATTACCATCAATATAAGAATATTACATCAAAGCAGAAATATTGTAAAATAATAGATCAATAGTAAAATGTTTGTCAGTTTCTAATGCATTTTGTATTGTTCTGTCTTCCCTGTGGTCAGTTATCTGACCTTTGACTTGTATGTTTCATCTTTATAGCGTATTATGACCAGTGCTTGTCATTCAGTAAAGAGGTTTTCTAAGTTCTGATAAACCATCTTCTTTTCAGCAAACACCTTCTCCCTCATGTCACTGGCCAAACCTCATTCCAGTAAGTCAATATTGTTTACGTCTGTAAGATCATACAACAATTGTGATATTTCCAACTACACCTATAAAATTTGCAGCCTTTATCCCCAACCTTTTCAGCATTTACAGGTTTCTCTATTCATCTGTGATGGATTCTGTTTCCAGGAGCTTATCTTTCTGTACAGTTGTGGAGTCCAGGGGTCTGTATCACAAAGGAGGATTTCTTGCTTAGTCAGATACTGTAACTTGTTGGATTTAAGGTAGTTTGGGCTCATTGTAAGTGAACAAAAGTCTGTTTAAACTGTGGTACTTTAAATCCAACAAGTTATCCAGCTAAGCAAGAAATCCTGTTTCATGATACAAGCCACAGAGCTCCAGAGCCTGACAGCAGGAGAAAAACACCTCTGGTCCTGCATAAAAATACATAAAATACATGCTTTACTCTGAGAATGTAAATGATATAGTGTCCTTCCACCAAATTATAGTGATTGAGACTCAGCTCCAATACAGTGCATCCAATTGTTAATAATATATTGTTTATGTTTGGATAAAAATATCACATGTCAGTTTAAACACTATTACACAGAAAGTACATCAATTGAATTAATTCCAAGCTTATTGTATCTTAGGTGGAATTATTTCAGCGCTAAGTTCAGAGAAGAGGAGCAAATTGGTGAATAAAATGCAAGGTAAGTGACTTTCTAGCTATCATCTTGGGTGTGCTGGGATTAGGGGTTGTTAATATGGCCAAAATATAGTCATATCACTATACTTTTGGTTAGAATCACCATCCACAAGAGAGATTATGTTTTTTGTGTACAAACCAACCCCATTGGAATGTATGTAGTAATGTTAATTAACCATTTAACCACTTAAACAGCAGTTCTATCCTTACAATAAACACTGCTGGTAGGAGTATAATATGTGTACATATCAGACATAATATTCTATTCTGAGTGTTGTCAGGTGGTTAAAAACATTGGTTGTGCCACCTGTGTTACAAATGATATCTTTGAAAAGTTTGCAAATCAAAGTAAATTGGTCACTTTTGGATTTTGTAAATCCGAAACATTTCCACACAATCGAAGTAGAACCTTTTTTGTAACCAATCCTTCCCCATCAGCCATTATAATGGAAAAAAAAACATCAGTTTTCTCCAGATCTTGAAGAAATTTTCCTGTTATGATAAGAAAATTGTGAAAAAAAATAATAATGATTTATATATTTTCTTGGCTTCTGTAGGTACATAAAGTTTATTTGTTTTAACTAAATTGGCTAACTGGCAAGAAATAAATTTTTAGTTCAAGAGAGAATTTTTAAATCTGGTGTATTCCTTAGTGGTATATATTAGTAGTTTAGTGTTTTAAGTAGAGGTTCTTCTGTTAGTAAGTTTTTCTAAAAAAATTATTCTGTTTTTCCCATTTAATCCTTTAGTTTGACATTTGATTCATTTTATGCTGGAAACAGGGACGTCACTAGGATTGAAAGACAAGGGGGGGCTTAGCCCCCAGGGTTGTAGGAAGGAATTCGCACGTATAGAGGGCTGAAAATTTTTCATCAAACCTAAACAGGCTTCTTTAATTTTATTATCTCATGTACAGCAATTATGCTGTTATCTGGCTCACTTTATTTCACTGGCTTCTCTGGAAGATTTCCTGCCTTTGGTTTCCTTAGTCCTTAGGATGTCTACCTTTTTTTTTTTTAAATTAGTCTAAATGAGTCCATGAGTTTTTAACAGCCTACATGTTGGAGAGGTAAGTGTCCCTGTTTTTGCTGTTGTACATACCTATAGCAGCTTAAACAGCCGGTACATAATTTGAATTAAATAATGATAGCTAGACTTACAGTATTATTTTTTATTTCAATTCGTAGTCTTGCTTCTATTTAAATGCATACCTGCGCTCAGTGATATCTTTTATGAAATGTATGGATATATAATTAAAAAAATAGCAGTGTTGGGCAAGCTACTTGTAAAGTGTAGTGAGCTAAGCTATCAGTTACTCAACATTAAATTAAACTTTACTACACTAAAGCTACCACCCATAGAAATATAGCAAGTTAAGTTACACAAATATGGCAAAAGTAGCTTACTACATCAGAAGCTACTTCACGTTATACCAACCTAATACCAGATCAGTGCGAAATGACAGTCAGATACACTGCTTAAGACATTTATTAAAGAACAACCCATGATTTAACAGTGTAGACATTGCGTTATGTGAAGCATCGAGACTTAAATAAAAGCTTACTTCTGGGAATAAAAAAAAAAAAGTTATTGGCCTACTACTAGGTAAATCGGTACTCTAGTAAACAAACTATTTAGTACCAAATGAAAGCTACTGTTTAGTGTTCGATGGGCAAGACATGGCTATAGGTTTAAACCAATCAATTTCAAATTTCTAGGGAAAAGAAAAACCATATTAAGTCATCTTATTTCCTCAGGGCCTCCCTAAACAAGAGAACTTCAGACCCCAGTTAAACAAGTCGATTGTAGTTACAAATGAACTTTTTGTTTAAGAAGAGTGTTAAATTGTGTTTACGGACGACATGCAACACTATGATTAATAAGCATGGCTCAGAGAGTGATCACTGGGACAATAGCAAATGAACTGGTCCAAACTGAAATGAGAATCAAAGTCCTGAATTACATGTTTTAGTGCTGAGGGAATGGGATGGAAGGGGAGGAGACCCCTGTGTTGTATCTATACTTTTTAATAATTAAGGTGGATGCATCATCAAATTGCTAAAGCTAGATTCATTTTCATTATTTTTAAGCGTTTTTAATTTATTAATTAGTTAAAACCCAGGACAGAATTTGCGCAAAGTTATACAAGTAAATACTGTAGCGCGGAGGTACCGGTGGGCAGCGCAGCATGTTGGACTTATGCCAGCTTGTAAATAGTTCTCAGTAATCCTCTTGTGTCATTATAAATGTGGTGTGTGTTATGGTCATGTGTAATCGTTAATGTTTATTGNCCAGCTTGTAAATAGTTCTCAGTAATCCTCTTGTGTCATTATAAATGTGGTGTGTGTTATGGTCATGTGTAATCGTTAATGTTTATTGTTGTGCGTGTGTGCCCACTGTGTGTGTGAGGAGTAAACGGGGCGACGTGCATGGGTGGCAGTGCGAGTGTGTGGGTTGCAGTAATACGGGTGTAATAAACGCCATCTGGTGATTTAAACCCTGAACTATCTCTGCTGTTTAATTGTTGCGAGTGGTTCGGCAGCCCACTAGTTCAATACTTTATTGTAAATATTAGGGCTGTCAAAATTAATGGGTTAACGTGGATTAATCCATCATCATGATTAATCTGATTAAAATTTTTAACGCAATTAACCTATCTGTGGCGCAGAATGACTCAAAAACCCTGAAATGTCTCTGTCAACCCATTTCAGGCAGTTTTGGTACGTTTCATTTGCCCTCAGAACTCGTATTCCGAGTCAGATTCCGAGTTTTGAAGCCGGAAGTGACGACATGCGCGCTCCCGTTTCTCAGAGATCCGAGAAATATCTCGGAGCAGCACAGAGGATCCCGAGTTCAGAATCCAAGATGGCTGCGCCCTTTATCAACAGAAGGGAACGTTGTAGTTTTATACTGTTTTAAGCACTACTTCTCATTTGTGGCTCATTAAATCGGTCGCACACACTATACCGTCCAACTTGTCTGTGGGCGTATTGCTACGGAGTTTTATACGTAAAGCACTGCACGTAAAGTGTTATCAACTGATATTGCTAACAATGGCAATTAACCGGGCTAGAATTGGATTTCATGATTAGTCGGATTTTTTGTCGGATTTACGGTAGTTCAGGCTAATTGTAAGTGAACGAAGATAAAGACCATTTAAACTGAGGTACCTTAAATCCGACAAGTTGTCCGGCTAAGCAAAAAATCTTGCTTTTTGATATGGGTCCATGGTATTCCACTTCTGTGGCAGATGGACTGCATCCTACTCGTGTTCAAGATGTTCAATAAACATGTTAAGTGCATATATATTCCCTTTTTTCTTGAGTCTGTTTGCTCATGCTAAATGAAATGCGATTTAATATAGATTAAAAATGAAGGCTATTTAATCATGGTTAATCGAAATTAATCCACAGCAACCCTGTGATTAATCTGATTAAAAATTTTAATCGTTTGACAGCACTAGTAAATATTCATTTACTTTTGTTTGTGTGCACGAGCAAATGAGCCTATTTGCTTGTCTGGCGCCGCTGAGTCACGTGAGCAGCATCGCTTACACAGACAGCCGCAGTTCATTCAGGACAGAAATTGAAACTGAAGTATCGATCTCCTGACGCTGCCATACGCATGCGTGTTTCGATAGACAGGCAGTAGAAGCAGAGTACAAGGTTGCGCATGAAGATGCTTTATTTCTGTCTGATTGTTGCATTTCAAAATCATACTGCTGAGGAAACCTCTGCTTTTCTCAGACATGTCCTGGAAATTGTAGCTTTTGTGGACGTTACGTCGCTACTTGATCAAAAAAATAACATAACTACTGGAAAGTTATTTGTTTCAGAAATCAGCGACGCTACAGGCAAGCTACTATAGAAAATGTAGTTAAACTAATAGCTTCGCTACATGTAGCGGCGCTACCGCCCATCACTTAGGGGGGGGGCTGAAGCTCACCTTAAATAGGCCTAACGACGCCCATGGCTGGAAATATAAGTTTTAGTGAAGGAAGGGAACTGGGCTTGTTGTTAAGTTCTTGGGGTACCATGACAAAAGAGAAATAACCATCATGGGTTAACAGAAACATTGATCTGTGGTCATCAGGGACTCGTGGGTTTGGACTTGGGTGGACACTTAGTTGATGCCTGCGTGGACACTGAGCTGGGCCCGAATTCTCGATAACGGTCGCTTTTAGCATCTTAAGAAATCTCTTTAGATTTATCTTACGAAAGGTATTTGTTTTTCTATGCAAGTTTCTCAAACAATATCTTATGAGATTGGTCAAGGGAGAGCTTCTTAAGTGCGACCTTAAGTGCCGGAACACCTGATTGGTTGACATTGGTGGCTTAAGAATTGATTATTCCCTCCATGCAGAAATTGCTTGACTGCTGCAGAGGAAGTGGTGTTTATAAATATAATGCTACAGGAATGCTTTGAAATATTGGAACTGGGGATAACCTAAAAATAAAATACAAAATAAACAACATGAATCTAATCGTAAATATGATTTTTGCCGATTGGGTGCACAAACCCACCTTCCGAGATTGTAGTATCACCATTTTATTTTTAAGTCGCGTTACTGTCTAAATATAGAATGTCCTATGCGCTTCAGTGTTGACTACTAAGGACTATTCCAGGGTGCATTTTTGGGGAAAATATATTAGACTTGCATGTAAATTAACTGCACTGTCAAAGTTTTGCTATATTGTGACTTTGGCACATTTACAGAGGTGTGTGCATTCCTGGGGCATCGGAAATTGGGGGAACGCGTCCACCCCAATATCGAAAGAACCCCCTCCCCTTCCCAATTAATAAATAAATACATAATGAACACCGTGTTCCTTTCATTATGAAATTGCTTAGTCCAATTTACTGTGTATTGAGTGCAAGGACGAAACCTGAGCAGTATGAGCCGACAACAGCGATAAGAGACAGTTAAAGAGGCTCAGTTCAACCTTATGAAAGAATATCTTAATTCTCTTAAACTAAGACTGTTTCGTAAAACATAAGGTAGAACTGACAAATGACATAGCGTTAAGAAGGTTTCGGGACACCGGGCCCTGATGTCTAAGGCAGGAGAACCAATCAGCAATGTATATGTGGATTGAGGGTGTGTTAGGGATGTATTAAATTATTTGTAGACTAACCAATGAAATGTGAATTCCTGATTAATCAAAAGATAATCAATTAACTATAAGAAGAGTTGTCGACCCCAACTGAGTAACTTGCGCAGAATCATGCATTCTTTGTGGCTTCATGACATAGGGAAAATTTTATTTAGATCCTGTTTAGCATAGTTGTCATAAGCAGATACTTTTTCAGCGATTCCCTGTTTCAATTAATGTCTAATTATTCTGATTACATAGCATTAGCAATTGAGATGACATATGATCAAGTGAAGAGTGCAGTCATGGTTAACCGCATTTCATACCTGGAGCGGCCTGAGTTCCCGCAACAGCAACGTAATACATGTGAAGCACATGAATCTGTGCACAGTGGGAGATGATGGATCTTAGTCCTGTGTTTTGGCTCTTTCATGAATTTTAATAAGCCCCTATAATTTCCTGTGTTCTTCACTCAGGTCGTAATGCGCCCAATCCAACCGCATCTCCTAAGTACAGCCAAAACAAGAGCCGATGGAACCCATTCAATGGTCTGATCCGTTTTCTTATGTAAGTGGATGTGGCTGCAGTTTCCTACAGCTCTGCTCCTTCACATCACCCCGCAAAGTGGAAAATCAATGCAAACGACAGAGACACACTTAACTCACCCTGGTTGCTTCAAAATCATTGCATTATCAAAAGTTTCCAGTTGGAACTGGTTTCATCGTTGTATTTTACCAGTTTAATCTAATTTTTATTTTTCAGCATATTTGTGGAAAAAATGTTCAGAAAACTAAAGTGAGTATTTCTTGCTGTGCTTCATTTTGTTGGTTTATTTGCTTTTTTGTTTTTGCATATATGTATATTTTAAGATATCACTGGAAAATATAACTCCCTGTAAAAACCATAATGAATGTTGTATATTCATAGAAAGTATGTAGTGAAATAGAGGGTATAATTTTATGGTATAAATTTCAGTTAATTGAGCCGATTTCCACTCTTCACAGCCCAGTCCACACAAGTGACCTTCCAAGCTATGTGGCTGAAGGCCAGTTCCCTATGCTAAGAGAGAACTTGTGGTTTGGCCCCCTCAAACATCTGACACTGTTCAAAAATTTCATGGCTGTGTAAGTGCTGAGTTTACAAATTGCAGTATGCAAAACTGTCCTAATCAGACATTGTCAGTTGCCTGTGACAGTATGGTATTATTTATCTCAAAAAGAATCTGTGTTTTTAACATTCCACTTCTGTCCCCTTTTGGCATGTTAGCTGCCATGGTAATATTCTCTTCTCTTTGCTAAAGGACCATTCAGACTTTGCTAAGAAGACTTAGTAATTTTGGCCGCACATGGAGTAAGATTGATGACATCAAAAGAGTGTTTTTATTTCCAAGTAAAAGAGCAGGTAGGTCAAGTTTTATGGTAAATTTAAGGCATCATCATTTTTGTAGTATTTCAAAATATTGTTCCTCCAGACTTGGGGAACAAGGATATATCATTATTAGATTGAGTTTGATACAAAATTCAAGGACTGAAATGAAGAAGATTGGTGAACAGAATCCTCTGACAGACTAGAAACAGAGTGGAGTAAAGACTGGTTCACTTCAGTTACACAGGGTCACGAACTTCAATTTGTCCAGAAAATTAATAAGCCCAAATGAGCCCTGAGAAAGGGGAAAGGCTCTAATCATATACCCTGTCAACACAGTATTTCCAGGTCAGGGCAAAGTCAAGGGAACTATGGGCTTCATTTATTAAAATGAAGTCCCTGGTTCTTTAATAAAGGTTCTGGTTCCAGAAAATTTTTTCCTGTGGTGTGAAAGCACCTAATGACTTTGTGACCCTCAGCCTTACGCTCTGCTGAAGGGTGTAGGGTCCTCATGCACTAAGCACCTGTGTCTTTCTCCTAGTGTACATCTCTGAGAACTGGAAGGATGACGCCTTTTTTGGGAGCCAGTTTCTTAATGGATGTAACCCAGGAATGATAGAGAAGTGCATTGAAATCCCAGAGAAAATTCCAGGGATAATCAAAGTGTATCCTAACATCAAAGAGCTCATCCAGGTGGGACCTTCAAATGAAGGCATTTATGTTGAATGTGATGCATTTAAATGTGATGCATCTTCACAAGAACAAATCATATTCATGTTGGTTGTTTATATTAGGATGAAACTTAAGTTTAAAAATAGGGTGAATCTCTTAACCAATTTTTGAAGTTAAGGTAGGAGTTGGACGTGTTACTATAACGAATATTTTTGGTCTTGTTTGCTTAGAATGGGAAGATTTATATGGTTGATTATAAGCTGCTTGATGATGTCAAAGAGGCCGTCATTGATGGCCATCAGCAGCATTTGGCTGCACCAATCGTGCTTCTTCAGGAGAAGGACAAGGGATTGATGCCCATCGCCATCCAGGTACTGCAGTATCCATAGCAACACCATCTAGCAGTGTGTTTGTGTAATGTGTTGAACAGTGCTTCTGATGCCTGTTTTCTGTACTTCTCCAGTTGAAACAGGAGCCCGGTAAAGAGAACCCCATCTTCACTCCAAACGACAAGCCTGAGGCCTGGCTACTGGCAAAGATCTGGGTCCGTAACTCTGATTTCTACCTGCACCAGCTGATCTCCCACTTTCTGAGGACACATCTGCTGGCTGAGGTCTTCTTCTTCAGCATCTTCACGTCACTGCATGATCACCACCCAATCCTGAGGGTACAGTTTCTTTTTTATTTTTATTTTTTATGAGTGAGCAACGTCAAAGGACATGGGACTCAGTCAAGAGGAGTTTTTTATTTAAAATTTATTATTATTATTATTATTATTATTATTATTATTATTATTATTATTATTTAGCAGACAGTTTTGTCCAAAACAGCGTACAAGTGAGTCATTACACAAAGCACATTTCAAACGTACATGCTGTCAAGCTGAGTAGGCATAAGGGCAGCAAGGCTGACCTTCCAATGAATGCCCAGGTACAAGTGTAAGCAGGATCAGAGCAGGAGCTACACAACTACTTCTTACAAACCAATAACTTAATACGACTACTATTCAATGATCAAAAAGTACAACATAACAAGCATTCGGGGAACATGGAGAGGTTCCAGGCTAGTAGAGGTGGTTCTAGTACAAATTGGTCTTGAGGTGTTTCCTGTAGCTGGAGAGGGAATGTGATGACTGGACGTGGTTCAGCAGCTCTTTCCACCAACTGGGAACCACCCTAGTGAACCGTCTGGAGTAACACTTCTCACATAGTGGAGGGAGCTCCAAACGGCATTGGTTTGCTGATCGAAGGGGGTGAGATGGGAATGGAGATGGGTGCTTGACTATTGATGAACCTATAAGCCAGCACCAAGGATTTGATCTTGATGCGAGTTCCTAGAGGGAGCCAATGAAGAGAGGCAAGCAGCATTTAGACTGACTGAATCAGACCTACTGTCACACTATAATTGATCGTGTTTAAATGCTGAAACAGTGAAATGACCTACTGGTAACATTTAATTTGCTCAGTTTTGCTGCCCAGCACTAGAGAATTTGACCCTTCAATACTGTATTGTCCACAATCAGATCTTTGCAGCCACAGGGAGATACACGACACCAATCAACGTAGCTGCCAGAGCTGCACTCCTCAACAACACTGGCTTCTTTATGAAGGTTAGTGGACTTGTTTTATACTGGTTTGAATATTATCTGTAAGGTTCTCAGCTTAGTATGCAGTAACTCACAGAGGGGTGAGTTGCCATTGGGTCATTAGGCCAGGCCCTTAACCGCAGAGAATGCTCGAAAAGGGGAGAAGATGGCATATGTGAACACCGAAGAATTCCATTTGGGAAAGAATTCCATTTATTTCCCAAATGGGAAAAAAAGCATCATTGCATTTAACATAATGCAACAAAAGCCTGAAAACTCAGTACATCTTACACTGTCTTTTTTTCTCACAGTACACAGCCTTGGGCAAGGACGTCCAGTATGAGCTGTTGCAGAGAGCCTTCAGCCAGGTAACCTACAAGAGCCTCTGTCTGCCTGACAACCTGGAGAGCCGTGGAGTGCAGAATCTGATGCACTATTACTACGGGGAAGATGCCCTAGCTATCTGGGGTGCAATATCTAAGTAAGGAGTTTTCTTTGCTTTCATTGGCTGTGTGTTGTAACCCATCCATCCAATCACCACTCTGTCAGGGACCTTGGGAAGGACAGGCCACTTTCGCACATTAGCCAGATGTTTTCTGGCATCAGATTTTGTATAACATGGTGTAAGTGATAAAAGTATCATGGCTTATTGTGAATTAATGCTGTTACTGTTTGTTTTAGATTCCTT